CTACTGGGTATAAATGTTGTTTATTGTGTTATGTAGATACTACTAGTGGTGGTGATATATGTATAGTATATGGATCAAAATATTGACTTGTTAGGTACATGCGAACAGAGGGGGCTTCTTAGTTATTGTATTTCACTAATTGAACCAAAATATCTATAAATAAAACCGATAATCAGGTTGTATTTACTTAATAACTTCTGCCTTTCAGATGAGACCCGAAAATGTGCTCTACTAAATGGTAACTGCGCCCATTATTACTAACATGAAAACGATGTGTAATATCCTATATCAGTTTATTACATTTGATATTCCCTAATAATACAGGCACTTTATAATCACGACTTTGGATACAGAAAGATATAGATCATACACTCATGTTTGTAGTTATACATGTGCCTAGGAGCCTTGTACAATTATATGGACACGTCCGACCCAGTTCTTAATGAAAGCACCAACCATTTTGTGTATTCTTTTTCATGGACGCTTTCAGTAAATCTTTGTAATGTTTCATAGGAAAAGTATCACATGTATTTTATATATGTATAACTGTAAAATATCAGATTAATGACAGACCAGTACGATATCAAAGTCTTCATGTCCGACAGACAGTTTTTCCACATCAGGAATAACAAGCCTTATGTATTCTTCTAACAAGGTTATCATGGTCCAGTAGATTGTACTGGTGACATGGTCCGCTAGCTTGCACTGATTACATGGTCCAGTAGCTTGCACTGATGACATGGTCCAGTACCTTGCACTGGTGACATGGTCCAGTAGCTTGCACTGATGACATGGTCCAGTAGCTTGCACTGGTGACATGGTCCAGTAGCTTGCACTGGTGACATGGTCCGGTAGCTTGCACTGATGACATGGTCAAGTACCCCGAAGTGGTGACATGGTCAAGTACCCCGAAGTGGTGACATGGTCCGGTAGCTTGCACTGATGACATGGTCCAGTAGCTTGAACTGATGACATGGTCCAGTAGCTTGTACTGGTGACATAGTCCAGTAGCTTGCACTGGTGACATGGTCCAGTAGCTTGCACTGGTGATATAGTTCAGACCTTGTTAGTAATGACATGGTCCAGTAGCTTGCACTGATTAAAAGGTCCAGTAGATTGCACTGGTGACATGGTCCAGTAGCTTGCACTGGTGACATGGTCCAGTAGACTGCACTGGTGACATGGTCCAGTAGCTTGCACTGGTGACATGGTCCAGTAGCTTGCACTGGTGACATGGTACAGTAGCTTGCACTGGTGATATAGTTCAGACCTTGTTAGTAATGACATGGTCCAGTAGCTTGCACTGATTAAAAGGTCCAGTAAATTGCACTGGTGACATGGTCCAGTAGCTTGCACTGGTGACATGGTCCGGTAGCATGCACTGATGACATGGTCCAGTAGCTTGCACTAATGACATGGTCCAGTACCTTGCACTGGTGACATGGTCCAGTAGCTTGTACTGGTGACATGGTCCGGTAGCTTGCACTGATGACATGGTCAAGTACCCCGAAGTGGTGACATGGTCAAGTAGCTTTCACTGGTGACATGGTCTACTAGCTTGCATTGGTGATATAGTTCCGACCTTGTGGTAATGACATGGTCCAGTAGCTTGCACTGAAGACATGGTCCAGTAGATTGCACTGGTGACATGGTCCAGTAGCTTGCACTGGTGACATGGTCCAGTAGCTTGCACTGGTGACATGGTCCAGTAGCTTTCACTGATAACATGGTCAAGTACCTTGCACTGGTGACATGGTCTAGTAGCTTGCAGTAATGACATGGTCCAGTAGCTTGCACTTGTGACATGGTCCAGTAGATTTCACTGGTGACATGGTCCAGTAGCTTACACTGGTGACATGGTCTACTAGCTTGCACTGGTGATATAGTTCCGACCTTGTAGTAATGACATGGTCCAGTAGCTTGCACTGAAGACATGGTCCAGTAGATTGCACTGGTGACATGGTCCAGTAGCTTGCACTGGTGACATGGTCCAGTAGACTGCACTGGTGACATGGTCCAGTAGCTTGCACTGGTGACATGGTCCAGTAGCTTGCACTGGTGACATGGTCCAGTACCCCGCACTGGTGACATGGTCAAGTAGCTTGCACTGGTGACATGGTACAGTAGCTTGCACTGGTGACATGGTCCAGTAGCTTGCACTGGTGACATGGTCCAGTAGCTTGCACTGAAGACATGGTCCAGTAGCTTGCACTGGTGACATGGTCCAGTACCCCGCACTGGTGACATGGTCAAGTAGCTTGCACTGGTGACATGGTACAGTAGCTTGCACTGGTGACATGGTCCAGTAGCTTGCACTGGTGACATGGTACAGTAGCTTGCACTGGTGACATAGTATAGCTGTACTAGTAATTATTCCGTCATTGGACAAATTGTTGGTCAAGTGTTGTTATTACGCCTGCAAGTCTTATTAGTCGAACTCCCTTGAAGAAATTAACGATCTACTTTGATACTGTCCACGTTTTACATAGTGCCTCTTGTTACAGCTAGTTTCCTTGTCTCCTGGTGTTAACTAGGCTGGACTCTAAAATCATCTTCCAGTCTTTTCGATTTTTTATAATATGTTTTCAAAGAAATTACGATGCTGTGGAGTGTTTGTCTTCGCTTTAGATGTACCAGCGTATATCAGAGCGTATTGCTGGGATTTCAGTGTCAAAACCAATATTTCGTCTCTCCACTTGTGGGTCCAGTCTGAAAATAAAACTTTTATTATTGTCATAGGCACGATTTAGTACTTGTTTTGTCCTGCTGTTCTGTGGCAGTTATAGCACACATAATATTAAAAACGGACTCCAAAGTACACTTAGCTAAGTTATGTATCGGTGAAAATGTCCTAAAAACTGTGTTATAAGAATATCTATACAAATGTCGATATATTTCTACTGATGCTGCTGACAAACTTAGCAGCCTTTTATATCATCATAATTTGTATATATTTAAAAAAAACTTTCATAAAACAAAAACATATTTCTTTGACCATATAAAAAATATCTTGAAAGTGCTTAATACATTATATTGTAAAATGTACATCATGTGTAAGATGCGTATTACGTTGTAGCATATAGAATTAGTATTACGTTGTATGTATATATACAATAATATTACAGTGTGTTATATACAATTTTATTACATTGTGTATCATATATATATTTAATGTTGTATATCAGTATTACATTGTGTGTGATATATACAATAGTATTACAATTTGTGGAATATATACCTTGATATTTAAATGTGCCATTTATACAATAATGAATATGACATTTTGTGTCACATATACAATAATATTACATCGTGTTTCATATATACATTAATATTGTATTATATGTCAAATATACAATGTGTATATTATATATATATAATAGTGCTATATAATGTGTTGTATGTATAATAATATTATATCATGTCATACAATTATTTATTTATTGTATGTAAAATATACAACAGTATTACATGCTATCTCACATTTACAAAGAGTTTACCCTTTTGTGTCGTAAGTACAATTATATTACATTGCCTATCATATACTTTGTTTATGATTTTTATTGTAATTTCACGACTCTATTGACCAGAAAGGACACATTTCACAAAGTATATTTAGTCTTAAAGCATCCTAAAAGATCATAGTATTGCTATTTCTATAAATAGATTTATTTGGAACATTTTCCTTTGAATTTTCGGAACACCTCTTACTTCTTTGCCTTGATACGTATTGCTCACCACACACTTACTTCATTATCTACAAATGTAATAAAGATTCTGACGGGATGGACTTTGCTTGTGGAAAACAGACCGCCATGATAGTGTGGATTTAGGAAATTTCTCCAAGCAACGAGTAGCAGAATTTCATAATGATGGGATTCAGATTTGAGCAATAAAATTCCTACCTCGAGATGATGAACCACTTCCCCTTTGAAAATAATTGTCTCTCGATGTTTTCAAAATTCACAAACTCAACAGCGATTTTGCCCCGAATTAAGAACCAAAATTATTTGATTGCGATTGTTGATAACGTTTTAAATAGGAGGACTAAATGGAATGTTTGGTTTCCAATCAGCAGATTTAATTTATTTTTGGTAAAATGATAAAACATCATATGGATATCAGTGGATGTATGAATTTATTTCACCATTTGATCTCATTCACATGCTATTGATGTAAAATGTACAACCTTATGCATCATATATATTACTTATACTTATATATCACATATACAATAGCATTACTTTATATATCACATATATAATAATAGAATCACTTTGTTTATGATTTACAAACTAGTTTTACCTCTTTGTAACATATAAACATTTCATTAAGTATCATATATATAGTAGGCGATACATTGAGTATTATATATACAATACGTAATACATTGAGTATTTATATATATAGTATATATATATAATTAGTAATACATTGAGTATTTTATATACAGTACGTAATATATACATTGAGTATCATATATACAATACGTAATACATTGAGTATTATATATACAATACGTAATACATTGAGTATTATATATACAATACGTAATACATTGAGTATTATATATACAACACGTGATTAATTAACTATCATATGTACAGTACGTAATACATTGAGTATCATATATACAGTACGTAATACATTGAGTATTATATATACAACACGTGATTAATTAACTATCATATGTACAGTACGTGATACATTGAGTATTATATATATAGTACGTAATACATTGAGTATTATATATACAACACGTGATTAATTAATTATCATATGTACAGTACGTAATACATTGAGTTTTATACTCTACGCATTACTTCGTATATCATATTGGCAAACAGAATCACCGAGCTTTACCACTCACTTAATATCTAATCATATCTTATCAAATCAAATCTTATTAGTCTGGACACTAAGTGAATTCACACTTCACATGTATCTTTTCATTATTGATATATAATTGGACACTATCTTCTATTTTTTTATAGAAACTTGCGGCCGGATCCCTGACCTTTGTCAAGGCCTACTCCAACGGTCAAGCGAATTCCGCCATAGATGTCCTAGAACAGGAACTTGAGACAGAGATAGAAAGGGATCGTCAGAAAATTCCAGATACCACGATAGCAAGGTCAGTTACACAATTTGTGACGTCATTGCATAAATTCACATTACAGTCCTGTCCAGAATTCCAGACCTCGCACGACATAATTAATGTCCGTAGTCTTCTACCATCATATTTCTACATACAGACGTAAGAATCCACTTGTTGTATCTCCTAGGCAACTTCTATATCTCGGTATTATGTTTAGATTAATCGTCTTAAGTAAGTTTAATTAGAAACGTGAGGATATCATCCTCTACATGGCCCATGTCCCGAGATCGTGTTGTCTGGTGCCTGTTTTCATTGATCGTAAAAATAATATACGCGAAGACACGTCTGAGGGGTTTTAGCAAAAACTCTTAACCCTTTTTTATTTCGTCCGTCATCAACAACAAGCACACGTCATTCATACGTCATTAACAACAAACACACATCCTTCTTACGTCATCAACAACAAACACACATCTTTCTTACGTCGTCAAAAACAAACACACATCATTCATTCGTCAGCAACAACAAGCACACATCCTTCTTACCTCATTAACAACAAACACACATCATTCGTTCGTCAGCAACAACAAACAGACATCCTTCTTACGTCATCTACAACAAACACACGTCATTCGTTCGTCAGCAACAACAAACACACATTCTTCTTACGTCATCAACAACAAACACACATCATTCGTTCTTCAGCATCAACAGACACACATCCTTCTTACGTCATTAACAGCAAACACACACCCTTCTTACGTCATCAACAACAAGCACACATCATTCGTACGTCATCAACAACAAACACACATCCTTCTTACGTCATCAACAACAAACACACATCCTTCTTACGTCATCAACAACAAACACACATTATTCATACGTCATCAACAACAAGCACACATCATACGTACGTCTTCAACAACAAACAGACACCCTTCTTACGTCATCAACAACAAACACCCATCCTTCTAACGTCATCAACAACAAGCACACATCATTCGTACGTCATCAACAACAAACACACTCCCTTCTTACGTCATCAACAACAAACACACTTCCTTCATACGTCATCAACAACAAACACGCATCCTTCTTACGTCATCAACAACAAGCACACATCATACGTACGTCATCAACAACAAACAGACATCCTTCTTACGTCATCAACAACAAACACACATCCTTCTAACGTCATCAACAACAAGCACACATCATTCGTACGTCATCAACAACAAACAGACATTTTTCTTACGTCATCAACAACAAACACACATCCTTCTTACGTCATCAACAACAAGCACACATCATTCGTACGTCATCAACAACAAACACACATCCTTCTTACGTCATCAACAACAAGCACACATCATTCGTACGTCATTAATAACAAACACATATCATTCCTACATTTTCTATTGGTTTTTCGGACCGACACAATGAGATGTGAGGTTCTTGCCATTCAGTTACATATTTCTAAATTCTTTGATTATACTTATTGTCATAGTGTTTACACTGGCATCACAATATCGCATTCTTTATACTGTGCATTGTATTTATCATCAAAAGCTATCTAGAACAATTGTTTATAATCAGATGTTGATCCTTCTGTCGTATCGATATGTAGAGATGAGTCACGGTATTCGTGCTTTTGCTTTCAAAAATAAAAAAATAAAATTGATCACACCATTTATCTCCAATACCACTGCATGACTGTCAGAGAGTAATGGCAAATGTGTCTTATCTTTTGGAGTACAGCTTATTGATATTGCATATTATCACATATTGAACAATTTTATGAATAACTTTTTGACGTTACATGTAAATCAAATGCAAATCGTGTCAATACATCATTTTCGTTCATCTCGGACACAGAAATAAAATATTGTGATTAACAGAGAAGAAAATGTGAAGTATTCTGTGATATCACGCACTTAGATATATCCAAGTCCGTGGTAATACCCTTAAATATCTAAATCCTTGGTAGTACCATTAAATATCTAAATCCGTGGTAGTACCTTTAAATATCTAACTCCTTGGTAGTACCATTAAATATCTAAATCCGTGGTAGTACCATTAAATATCTAAATCCGTGGTAGTACCTTTAAACATCTATTCCCGTGGTAGTACCTTTAAATATCTAAATCCGTGGTAGTACCTTTAAATATCTATCCCCGTGGTAGTACCTTTAAATATCTAACTCTGTGGTAGTACCTTGATTGCTTTGAATTAATGTAGAACCTTTGAATTACATTTTTTACTGTATTTGGTTTTCTATCATACTCCGAGCTCCAGTTCGTCAATCTTACTTCCCGAATTCTATATACTCCGAGCTCCAGTTCGTCAATCTTACTTCCCGAATTCTATATACTCCGAACTCCAGTTCGTCAATCTTACTTTCCGAATTCTATATACTCCGAGCTCCAGTTCGTCAATCTTACTTTCCGAATTCTATATACTCCGAGCTCCAGTTCGTCAATCTTACTTCCCGAATTCTATATACTCCGAGCTCCAATTCGTCAATCTTACTTTCCGAATTCTATATACTCCGAACTCCAGTTCGTCAATCTTACTTCCCGAATTCTATATACTCCGAACTCCAGTTCGTCAATCTTACTTTCCGAATTCTATATACTCCGAACTCCAGTTCGTCAATCTTACTTCCCGAATTCTATATACTCCGAGCTCCAGTTCGTCAATCTTACTTCCCGAATTCTGTTATACTCCGAGCTTCCGTTTTCTATCCGTGTAATTTATCTTTTGCTTTCAGAGAAAATTTTAACGACTTTAATTTCTAGTTTTTATTCTATATGAGCATCAAATATAACCGGAAGTGGCTCGTGGTATATAACCGGAATTATTCTATCATCCTTGTTTCAGAAATGAATCGTAAACAATAAACATATTTGATTCTGAAACGTTGGGTTGTAATTATGACTTACGTACTGGCAATTTCCTTTAGTTTATTGAACAAATGTTCTCTTAGACATTATTAACTTCATATATCCTCTTCTTACGTTACAAGCGAGAGGTGTACCACTGCTTTCTCTCTAAAAAATAATACTGTATGACTTCTAGCCTTGTACTTAGAACCGTAGTCGTTATATAACTGGTCAAAAGTCCTATAATGACTTAATTTGTACTGTATGACTTCTAGCCTTGTACTTAGAACCGTAGTCGTTATATAACTGGTCAAAAGTCCTATAATGACTAAATTTGTACTGTAGGACTTGTAGCCTTGTACTTAGAACCGTAGTCGTTATATAACTGGTCAAAAGTCCTATAATGACTAAATTTGTACTGTAGGACTTCTAGCCTTGTACTTAGAACCGTAGTCGTTATATAACTGGTCAAAAGTCCTATAATGACTAAATTTATACTATAGGACTTTTAGCCTTGTACTTAGAACCGTAGTCGTTAGATAACTGGTCAAAAGTCCTATAATGACTTAATTTATACTATAGGACTTCTAGCCTTGTACTTAGAACCGTAGTCGTTATATAACTGGTCAAAAGTCCTATAATGACTTAATTTGTACTGTAGGACTTCTAGCCTTGTACTTAGAACCGTAGTCGTTAGATAACTGGTCAAAAGTCCTATAATGACTAAATTTATACTATAGGACTTTTAGCCTTGTACTTAGAACCGCAGTCGTTAGATAACTGGTCAAAAGTCCTATAATGACTAAATTTATACTGTAGGACTTCTTGCTTTTAAGTGATATCTGCGGTTTTAATGATTAGATCTGTTTACTGCTGGATCAGCAGAGTCTAGAGCGAGGAATGATGCATGTAAAATTAAGATGGCATGGTTAGCGTCTGAAGTGGGTGATTATCATAAAGTTAATTGAAATTGAATATATCAAGTTATTTTAAAAAAACTTGAAAACCTTTATTTCATATCTAGGCTTAAATATGTTAAATGTATTTGGTGAATATGTTAATTCATAAGACTTTACATATACTGTTAGCTATACATTTACTAGGTAATCACATTTAAAACAGAAAACAGGTGTGACCTTGCGATCTCTACTGAAACTATCACTGTTCACAAATTTATTTTAATATATATAATTGTTAATGACAATTACATCAACTTTATTAATATACCGACGCGAGCAACGACGAAAAACGTCTGTGTTGTTATTCAATCAGTTTTGATTTAGCCTGGTCCAGAAAGCAACTGTTGTCGGCGAATTAATTGACGTCTAGACGTTTTGTGTTTACCTGTTGTCCATGATTCGCTAGTTCCAATGACTTATGGCTGGATTGATAGTTTTGTCTGCCTCTACAGCCGTTTCTTTATGTAGTCGGGGAGTCAGTACACTCTACGTTTAACATTGGTCTGTTCTTGTTTCCCAAATCACATTACAACACATCATTTATCGCTTCACCTTCATCAATTAATACTGTTGTTGCTCTGCAGATCTATTCGATCAATATGTGACGTACGCCAATTAAGTAGTAAAACGGATATCAAGCACTTTGTCAGCAAATATCATAACTTTTTTTCAATAAAAGGTCGATTAAGTTTTGCATTCAACGAGATATTATTGCATCAAAATAGAACATTGAAACAGATACTACCTGAATCAGCGTCGTTAATGCAACTGGGAAACGCAAGCTGGTGCATTGTTGATAAAGTTATTAATTAACTCTTGAAAGTAGAAAAATATTTGTTCATATTTTAGATAGTTATGAGTTTATAGAATATAAGCTTTATCAAATTTTCTTAAATAGCACTACCCTGAATGTCGCCGATTCCCAAAATACGCTTAACTTGGAATCTCGAGATCAATGTCAAACTCTGAAAGGTATATGCTGCCGACTTAGTAATTCTGACAGCTTATCATGTCTATGCTCCAATGCTTAGTATGTCACAACACATGTAAGCAATATCATGTTTAATATAACCCATGTGCACATCGATCACCACATAAAAAAAAACATTTCTGTTGTAAATTTGACTCCTGTTGCTGGTTTATTATTCACAATCATAAATTTGAAGTTTTTGATAAATATTAGTATGAAGAT